TTAGTAGTTTAGAGGTACTATAAATTTATGTAAAGCATCAAACGATAAAGAGAGACAAACAAAGAAATTCTAATAACAAACGATAAGACAAAAACTAACAAGACACAAAGGACTATTAAACTTCACCATAACAACATTAAAACTGCTTTCAGGACTAAAACTTTTACGTGTATGCTCTCTTACAGATAATCCATCTAATAGGTAAACTCAAGCAAGCAGTGTTTTTAAGGCTGAAATATCCGCTTTATCTCATGCAAGTTCAAAAAGAAGAAATTTAGAGTCTCAATGTAGATTCAGAAAATAAGAGTTAAATTGATGTAATAAAACTTTTGAACATACAAAATTTACAAGCTTGCTATGATGATAAAAATGCCATATACAGGTATGCCAAAAGATAATACTATTAGAAAGCACAAATGGATATTGGGACAAAAACTAACCTCTATACCAGAAGACGTGTGCCGGAGGGGGCAAATTATTTGGTGGAAAAATTATACTGTCATCATTAACTGCATCAGAAGAACCAAAATGGTCTTGTGCATCTCTTGGGAGACCTATGTTACTTGACTCATCTGAAGCATTAGAGGTTGTCACTTTCTCATCTATAGCAGAAGGTGGCTGATAAAAGATAAGATAGTTATTAATGACTAGAAGTTGGATATAAGGAAAAGAGAGTATGTTCAAAGTGAAAATACCTGTTCGTTCAAGGTCTCAACATTAACAGGTTTCTGATCACCATCTACAGTTGATGATTCCAAAGGCTCTGGTGAGTTTTAGGAGAGTACAAATAACAACTTATTAGTTAACTACGGCAAATGCAAGTATAATGTAGGTGCCTGTAAATACATTATGTGTTTGTTTGAACAAATATGTATATTTATCTAAATGCACATATAAGCTCGTGCATAGGTAAAAATAAACATCACATACATAGTGTGAAATACACATGAAATATTACACGTATGAATGTATGCTTATTATGGTGTATATATGTACATAAAAAGAACATCAACTTGAATGTAAAATTACAAAACCAAAGGTCAAAAAGACAGACCGTAACCAGAAAAGGTAACCGGAAGTATTGAAGAAAAAAGCACTAAAAAATTCAAGGAAATATGCTCATTCATATATCAGAAACTTGGTTTATATGGAATAGTATTCCACAAACAGCAATAGATTTATTGCACTAGAAAAAGTTCTGAGTTTAAGCACTAAATCATACAAGGACACAAACACTGGATTAGGAAAATAAAAACTCTAACCTTTTTCTGAAGCTAAACATAAGAAGCACCAGTAATCTGAAATTGCAAACATCCACATCCAAGGCCAGAAAAAAGATATTGTCTAATTAAAAAAATGCAAATCAAATGCAAATGTTTGAACATGCTCAATGCCTGATTTGTCATCTCACGATGTGTATGACTGAATTAATTCATGTGGCACATCCTAAATATTAAATCAAGGATGAATATTGATTAAATCAACACATTTCTGCAGGGCTAAATCCAACAATTGCTAAGTTTAAAATGTCCAAGGCCGCACCAGATTCACTCTCTAGGGTAAAATCCTCTGTTCACTTCTGAGACAGTAGTTAGACCCCATTTTTGAAGAAAGAGTGTCTAGAAACTAGAAATTGTGACCGACAGGACTAGATCTATCAAATTCAAGTTGCAAAAACAAGGATTTCAGACCACTAATCAAACTTATGGAAACAACTTGATCAAAGTTTTCAAGTGTTAGATTCCAACCCATTTATGTTACTTCTCTGATCTCTCGAATTCTCCATTCCAACGATACTTAAACGACATCACCAAACACTTTTTATTATCTAACAGGAAAATGGGAAAGTTAGATCCATGCCAGTTGCCCTAGATCAAGGTAACAAAGGAGGCCATGGAGAATCAGACTTTTGGTGTTTTCCAGCATCCTATATCCGCAAAATAGTAGATGTGGCTATGACATTCTTCACAACACAAAACCATATTCTCAAATTTAGCACAAAAACTCGTATCCAAGTCCTGGCGACACCAACTTCCCGCTATAGTGGTGGATCTGCCCATGTTACAGGTTAACGTAATCTCCATCTCTCTACTTGATACTACATACCAGAAAAAAAAAAAGCACAAAGATTATCTGAATTACACAAGGATTCAAAGGGAGATCTAAGAAAATTCACCACAAAAATCACCGGATCGCTCTATCACAACCTGTTTCAAGGTCACGAGAGATTTCAGCTTACCCAGCTCCTTAACCCACATTGCCGCAAAAAAATCACGTCTTCATCAACAACTCGGGACCGACACAACGCCCAAACCACAAGAACCAAATCACGCCCCGCAAAGATCACATCCTTATGAATCAACCATGCAACAAAAGCCAAAAATATTGGCAAGAATACATCAATACATAAATCCGGTGAAGGAATCGGGGATACCGATACGATCCAGCGCCTGCTGACTCGTCTCCATATCGAACCGAGATCCCGAGGCCCGTCCGCTTCCAGAAGAAGGATTAAGATGAAGACTCTGCGGCCCCCTCTTCCTCGATTCTCCTCGGGGACGAAGGGTTTAAGAGAAGAGAGAGAGAGAGAGAGAGTCTTTGTTCCGAGATGCGGCTTGGATTGGGAGGGGCGAAAGAACGGCTGCGGCCCTCTCTTCTGATAATAACAGAGGAAGGAAAAATAATAATAATATAAATAATAAATAATAAATAATAACATAGGAGGGAGAATATAATATGTTTTTTTATATTCTTTTCCTTTTTGATTTCTTTTGTTCTAATCCGTCCCCAATTCTACCTAATCATACAACTTATAGTACACGTCCAATTAGGGAAATAATTATTGTGAGGCATACTCTAATCGACTACGATTAAAGACTCCTAATAGATTATCTTGAAATTAATAATAATATATAATTTTTTGTAATTAACCCTGATTAGGATTATAAATAGTTTTAATTGGCTTGGACACCCATGTTAATAGGATTGCTCTTAATCCAGGTTTGACTTAAATTAGGCTCATTCTAACTCAATTTGTACACATCAAGAAGAAGGATTGGAATACAATCAAGTCAAAAGCATGGCTGGGAAAGTTGACCAAAGACATTATCATGTCATTAAAAAAAAAGCTAGTTAAACATATAATTTTTATTTATGTGAATTCCTATGTGTTGTGGGGAGATCTAAACTAACCTAATTTGACTATTAGACTTTGACTTTTAGATTTGGATAAATTTTAAGATTAAAAGAGTTATCTTTTTGTCAAAAAAAAATAATTCTTCACTGTATAAATCAAAATCATTGTCATGAACATACTTTTCTATCATTTATTGACTAAATTAGTTCGCTTATGTGGTTTTTAGTTGAAATAGCTATGGATAGCCTCATGTAAATAGAATTTGTATAAAAAATTAGAGGTAGATAGCATTTATTAATATTTTTTATATTATTTTGTATTGTTAATTTTTTTAATAATAGTAATAACAGTAATTGGGAGATAGAAATAATATACAACAAATAGGAGAGAGCAACAAGTTTTTCTTACTCCTTTTTCTTTTCTTACCATTAACTATTGTTGCAATGTCACAATATTAATTAGAAGGAGACTGATATAATATAAGAGAGAGAGAGAGCATTTTTTGGTAGTAGTTAATGGTCTTTTTCTTGTGGGCTTTTGTGTTAATTTATAACAATGACATGAGGGGTTGAAGAATTTATATGATAGCAACTTGTTGGTATTATTTTTTGGTGTTTTCCGGTGAAATCAAAGACCCAAAAGAAGAAAGTTAGGAAGGAAACATGGGTGGATAGGTGGATAAGAGCAAGGTTAAATGAAGCCTTGGGAATGGATTCGAGGGATCATGTGAGGGACAGTGTTTGGAAAAGTGGTGGAAAGTGGGTCGGATCTACGTGTAAAGTGCGGATGAATGTTGGTCACTCAATCAGTGTTGAGGCTTTGGATTATTCCTGGCTCCTAATCAGTGTTTACTTCTGCTCTAAGATGTTGGTCACCCAATTTTGATTCTCCAATCAAAGTAGAGGTGGCATTAATCCAACTTTCAATTTATAATAATGACTGCTTAATGTATATATTTTCGTGACTTAAATCCTGATCAAGCACATCATACATTATCATAATTATTACGATATAAAGATTATTATCGATTTAGATATTGAGACGAAAAATTTATTTATAAGGACCTATAAACATTCCGACTCATCGGAGATCATGATATACAATACAGTGATGTAACACATTAAACTCAACAAGTACTTAGATTTCATTACCAATCTATGTCTCTAAGGAAATCCATCACATCCTCTCCTTCTAATAATCATTTACATTGTTTTGCATTTTTATATACAGAACCATGCTTTTAATATGTATGCACCTTTGATTCACCAAGTTTCAAACATCATGTTGCTATCATTGCCAGGTGCTTCTCAACTTGATATATCTGAAAGCCCACTAAATGGGGTGCTCAAAAGAAATCAAGAAGCTCTTGTTGGAAGTTGATGCTCCAGTCCTAGTTACATGTCTTCATTGCAACTTAGTGTTGGATCACAAGGTCACCTCCTCACATGTTGTCAGGGATTTTGGACAATCTGCTCACCATGTCCAAGTTGAGCCTTTTTTCTGCACAAACTGAGATGAAAAACATCAGATAGAAATATTGAACTGTTGTCAAGTTATGAAAACATATACCAGTTTCTCAGTTTGCCATCTTCATTTCCACATTACCTGGGCCAGTTTTCTGTCCTTGCAGAACTTTTGATCCTTCAAGAAACATTGTAGAAGTTCATTGTTGATTAAATTTCATAGAAGAACTGATCTTCTGTAATGATTTAATCTGCATAAAGAACATGACAGAGTTGTGAGTGTCTTGATTAGAAGTCATCCACTTGACATGATCAAAGGCAGTGCTGCACAAAACCTCCTTTTCTTTTTTTCTGAGATTAAACAAATATGTCCTACCTCAAAATCGGTAGGGGAACAGCTTCAGGCATGACTGCAACTCTTCTGTCCTTGCTCATGATTGTTGCATCACCAATCTGTAACCCTGCAATCAAGGTTTCAGCTTTTGCAGTAGAACCAGCAACTCATGTTTTTTCCTTTCTGCCCCAACCACCACAAGATGCAGAGACTACAGTTCAAGAGTGTTGCTGGGAAGATTACCAGTTGTCTCAGGAAGAAGATTATGGTGACCTGAGTCCAGTACCAATCATCAATCCTGGTCAGCATGCTCCAGTCCCCCATGCTTGATTTGCTTATGTTTTGGGAAGCATGCCTTCTATCTATCTGCACTTCTACATGCTAATGAAGCACACTGCATTAAAGTGATTTATATTTTGGTGTGACTGTGGGTATTTGGGTATTGCATGAATTGCATAAGAATTCAACTGAGGTGAACTGTGTTTCATCATGAATTGTATCAGAGAAGAAATCCTAGTTCCTCTTTACTTATTCCTTGTTGACTTTATGTTCTATGCCAGTCATCTTGTTGTATATTTAGAGCTGCTTCAGGACTTCCTCCTCTTTCCTTCCCTGCAAAGTTGACTACACTAAAATTTGCTCACAAGCACTAAATTTAATTTTAGGGAAATCTTATGTCCTTGGATGGGTTAAAGAATTGCTATAATGTACCTGAACTAACACCTTTATCTGATCATTTCCAAGCAACAAACAAAGCCATCAGGAGAGTTCAGCAAGCTCTGTACAGCAATATATTATGGAGGGAAGGTCATTCAGATCTGCTGAAATCTTTCATTCTCCATCAATGTCCTGAGAATGAGCACACAACTTCTGTAGGCATCCATTGATTTATTCCATTGCCTGATTCAATTAAAGCAGAAGAACAAGGGACTATGATAAGTTGCTAAAGTTCTTGTTTCTCTATGAGCACTTGGTGCTGGTTCAGCCATCATTGAACCAAGCTAAATCAATGAAATATCACTAATTGGCAACATAATTTGCCACTGAAAGCCAAGACAAGCTTATGATGAATCACCCTACTCCAATCAGCTGGAAGATTTGGTCAGATGAACTCAATAGTTGATCAGTAAATGACTGGCAGATTCATAACCTTGTCATTCAGATCAGATAGTTTCATATTCTCTCCATCACAACTTCCGCAACTCATCAAGGTATTCATAAGAATGGTTTAAATAAATAAATTTAGCAGGCCAAAAATTTATCAGAGCTATTAGATTGGCCTAAAGATGGTTTTTCTATTGCATGTGATAGAAAACTACAACATCAGATGATGAAGACCCTTGCCAGTATAATCCTTCACTGAACACCTAGCTGCAGTAGGTCTACAGCAGGTATCTCCACAACAGTTCCTCCAAACTTCTCCTGAACATCCTTGGGGGTCTTGATCTGCTTGGTTGTGCAAATTATATCCTTTCAAACCGATAACTGATAATGAGACAGAGTTAGGTAATATCCAACTTACAGCATTCAGTGCTTTGAAGAGAGCCTTGAATAAGATAAGGGGGTTCCTTGAGCCAATGATCTGTAAATAAGACAACCTAAGTACAGCCCAGATATCTAGAAACATAAAAGGAGTGCGAGGTCTTCACACCTTCGATTTGACATTGCTGAAACCAGACAAGTACAGGACAGTTTCCACAGTTCTGACTGCTGCTGACATACCACTTCTCATTGGACAAGGCCAGAGGTATAATCCATCTTTAACTCCTCAAAATAATAAAGGAAAAGATGAGATGGCAAGGATTTGTGAAATTTATATGCACCTTGGTTTTCTCATACTTGGATTGGATTGGATCACATGAGCAATTATGTGATCTTCATACTGCTCCACATAATGAAGATTTTGGAAACATTTCTCATATCCCTTTGGATTGCTCAACTGGACAGCAATCTAGCCACTGTCTAAATCGAGGGATACATCAAATCTAAAATGTCTAAAGTTACTATCTATACTGTGTGCATCATATGTTGGTGACAGAAGGGTTTAAATGACTAAGTTCTTATTGTGGAGATACAATATTAAAGGCCTTCATAGTGTTGCTCAATTTCCAATAGAATTGCATGAAATGAGTTGGAAAAACATGGAAGAAACCAATTTTACTTCTTAAAAGCATAAAGCAATTCTGTTGATTATTGTTCTTTCGGGAAAAGAAAACAAAAGCTTGATTAAAGCTTTCACTGGTCAAGATTTGATACTCACATTGTACCCATAGAAAAGTTCTCACAGAACATCAATCACTATTGGACTTCTTGATGATCACACCTCATGGAAAGGAATCAGATGGATTCTTTGAATCTTAAGCTAATTTTATTTTATGAATAAAGCAGCAAGGAGAAAAAATTAGTGTCCTGCAAGGGGAAAAAAAATGTTGTGATGACTACCTGTAAATATAGTATCCATTGTTTGCCTAAGAAGGAACTTCTAAAGCTTATTATTCCAGCAAACCCATATGTACTATCATCTACCATGAACATAACATAAGCTTACTGGATCAAGATAAACCTTCTCATGTAATTGAATATACAAAGAATATACAATAAACCATTTAGTTACTTTGTGAGCATTAAAAAAACTATGGGACTTATTTTTCTGTAGAGAGGTCTTCTTTTTTTCTATGTCAAGGAATTTCTTTCCTCAACAAGACTGTCAATTTCCTCTTCCAGGACCCTGCCTTTCTTTCCGAAAGCATGATCAAGCTCTGCAAGCTTCTCCTCCAGTTTCTCTTCAATGGCATTGAATTTCTCTATAAGAATGTTATCTATCTCCTTTGTTTCACTGAAATCTTCTTCATCTTCCTCCAGGCCTGCCCCTTGTATCATTGTCTTTTCCTTCTCAAAGTCAGCACTGTCTACTATATCTTCAGGTGATCCTACTTGTTGATGCTAAATAACTCCAAAGTTTGCAGGATTATTTGGGTCATAGGCCTCTTTGCAGTCCGTCAACCGAACAGCTCGATTTAGCTTTTGGAGTAGAATGAATCTATCCTTCCCAATTGATTCTTTCAGGCAGGTCATCAGATCACGTATAACTCTGTATTCCAAACGCAGTTTCAGATGTCGCTGCTCAAACTTGTCAATTTTCGTCATCCATTTGTGAGCTTCATCAAGTGTTTCTGTAAAAAAACAACAAAAATGAGCTACCATGAAGCAACTCCCACAGCCAAACAAAAGTAATTCTATGATGGAAATATACTTGAATTTCTGCATCTCATAAGATAATGACAAAACTGAGTGAAAATGAAACTGAGTCTTACCAATGATTTGGGAATTTTCATGCAAGAATATGCAAATAAACCTACCTCCGATAAATTGGAGACTGGATGGTTTAAGTACAAGCTGAGAGAAATGCAACGATTTCCCCATATCTAGATTCATTTCCTGCTCATGAAGGCTGATAATTGCCTAGATCATGCTCACTAATACTAATTAATCCTGTATCCATTTTGCTAATTTCATTATCAGCATTACTTAACCCATTTCATGACAGCCCAAATGACCAAATAAGCATCTTCAATGTACCAGAGGCTTCCTAAAATTGTTTGTATTATCTGTTACAAAATGGTACATCTAGAGGAATGAATAATTTACAGAGGAAATTTGCGGTCAACAGTTCAAACCCCATGAAAAATTCCCTAAAAGAGTGTTTCTGGTTTGCAGAATTCATATAAAATAACAAGATTCAACAATTTAATGTAAACTGAAGAAATGAGCTGTAATAATGATGAGACCCTGCCAAAATATCATCTCCATCAAACCTTTGTCACTGGAATCTTTTATTAGTCGAAAAAGCTTAATTCCACTACCCAGATAAAGTAAGCTAGAAGACAACAGATTTGTTCTATCCCGACAACAATATGCAGACTTTGCACCACGCACGACTTCCAGTCTGACACCAGTTATCTATGCAGAAGACAAGACCTTTAACCTTAAGCAACAAAGAACTACACAATGTGCTCCAATTGAACAATCGTTCCTCAGATTTGGAAGATTACCAACATGCACGTAACAATCATGAAACATACCAACCTCGGCGAAAAGTTCTTGAGAAGCTCCGAGTGGCGCTTGCACTTCTTCTCGAACTATCCAGACGCTTCTTCACCTCGTCGGGCGAGAACCTCTGGTCACCATCACTCTCGGAGTCGGTGGGCACCCAGAACCGGTTGATGCTATCCGAGTCCTTAACTTTCGTCTTCTCTAGCTTCTCGATGAGCGGGACGACCCTCATGTAGTCCCCCTCGTCCTCGCCATCGAGGGCGATGCCAGCCTTCCTCCTCTCCTCCTGCGCCAGCTGCTTCGCCCGCTCCACCTCGGCGAGGAGATCCTGCACGACGCGGTCCCCCATCACGGGGTTGGCGGAGAAGTGGCGGACGGAGGGGAGAGCGGAGAGGATGGAGTTTGTGGGGAATGGTGAGGGATTCGAAGGGGTGGGGAGGAGAGCGGGAGGGAGACGAAGAAGGGGGCGGGGGAGATTAAACAATGACGGGTTTCACTGGGGATGAGAGTGGCTAATTTCTTTATTATTTTTATCCCTATAAATCTGCTTAAATCGAATGAAATCAAATTCTTTACCATTATTATTATTATTTCTTTTTTATTGTATAATTTAATAGTTGTCGACTCTCCATGGCATCCGTAATGTTTCTCATATATTTGTAACGGTCAGATATGTCCATTATATACACCGTTATAATAGGCCGCGACGACACCGACCATCCGTTACCAAAGAGAAATCTCCAGAAGGTGGGCTCACTCCTAACGAAGGCGCATGCTTAAAGACCCACATTTCCAGAACGTGCCCTAATTGCCCCTCTCACTTTAGCCTTCCTCCGCCGCCGGGAAATCGCGCAGCGGTCGCTCCAAGTTCACCGGCACCTTCGTCCTTCTCTGAGCCCTTCACCTGATGGAGAAAACCTACAATTAGAGCTCCTGAGGTTTAGTTGGTTCTCCACGATGAGGCCTCACGCCGCTCGCCTCGCCTTCTGGTTCGCCCGCAGGTCTCTTCGATCGAAGCTCCTCGATGAATCTCCAATCATCGCTGTGCGTCTTTGCTGAATCTTCGTTCTTTTTTCTGTCTTCTACTTTCTTCTTTGATTTGCTTTCGGAACTTCGACGTGTTTTCTTATAGATTGAGGTCGCGTCTGGCCGGTTGGCTCCCGGGGTATGCAGCTCGTCTCGGGGATTTCGGAGTGGAATTTGTGATGAAGGTTCGGTGCGTTTGATTTTATCTTGTCTCTTCGGATATGGCGTGGTGGAAAAGTTAGGATCTTTTTCGGCTTTTATTATTATTATTATTATTTTCTGGGGGTAAATTGTGTGTATCCTGCAAATTCTGCAGCTAAAGTTAGGCATGGCATTTTTGACGGAGCATTTCAGAGGCACTTTGTCTCGAGCAGGTCGTTTCATGGTACGTTATTGTATTTGCTTAACGCTTAGGATTCCCAAGTAATTAAAGACAATAACATTTTAAAGTGGGATGGGCAGAGGCTTGTTACCTTGAACTCTACATTTGCGTTGTTCCTGTTTAGGTACACGATCGGTATCTGCAAGGGATTATTATGATGTACTTGGTGTGAGCAAGAATGCAAGTGCCTCGGATATCAAGAAAGCTTACTATGCAGTTAAGTTTTCAAGCAATAGATTGTTGAAGTTATATCTAAGCATTATCCTTTCTGCAGATGTCTCATGTTATTCATTTTGTCATTTATCTTTTCAGTTTGCAACATGAACATGCCATATTCTATGACATCCTTAGCTAGTTTAGTTCGTTTAGGTGCCTGGTAATTCACACATCAAGTGAACTCAGAATTTCTAATGACATACATGTCATGCATCAAGATATTTAGGTAGCTCGGTAAGACAGTAACTATCTTATGTGTTCAGTTTGAATACATAACCTGCAAAAAAGAATGTATATTGATTATTGAACTCTCTCACTTATACAAAATCTGTGATATCACTTCTATTGAACTTAACATCAAGAAGGAAATAATTAGTGTAGGTCTGATAATTAACTTTAATGTATGCTAAATCTTGGAATTTAATTTGTGAAATTAACAATAGGCTCAGACTTTGTCCCTGGGCTCATGCTACAAGTTGCAAGGGTCATAGGAGCCTTATATGAATCATCTTATGAACCAACACATGACAGGATGTATGAGAACATCTTCATCAGAATCATGCATGTCTTTGACATCTTAGGTCTCCTCTTGAAATTGAAGGTGATATCACTCAAATTGAATTTACTAATTAGCAGGACATAATAGTAATGATAATTAGCTTTTGTTGTATCTTGGAATCCAATTTGGGTATTAACAACAAAGACCAAGGGATCATATGGATGTTATGTGAATATGATGAATCAACATGAGTGCGTGCAGGAGAGATCATTTTTATCAAGTAGAACATATCTTCTACACCCTAGGTCTCCTGTTTTGTTACTAATGGTGTGTTTGGACTAATCACATGTGAACTGTGTTGACAATTTTAACTAAATATGGATGATAAAAAGGTATTAGTTACCATCACAAAGCTTTGAATTCATGTTGACTATTATTGTGACTTCCCCACTTTGTTCTTTCATCATCGCTAACCATTCATTTTACTTGATTAGATAGTTCAAGTCAGATATATTTGTTTAAGAAGATTTCTCTGCAATGATAATACATCTCACCCCTCTTTTATTCTATATTTTCTTCTTTTCCACCCTTCCTCCTCCTCCTCCTCTCTCTCTCTCTCTCTCTCTCTCTCTCTCTCTCTCTCTCTCTCTTCCTTTCACCTTATTGTTGTTCCTTTAACCAGAGACCACAATCTGTCCTAAGTCATAATATTTGTTCCAGAGTCATGGTGGTTATTATGAAAATGCATGGCCCAGATTGGACTCACCAAATCTGTTGACAGCTTTTGACCTATCACAATGAAGAATCTTAAAACATGTTTGATGATTTCATCATTCATGCTTTGTGGATCCACAAAAAATTGAACTTTTGATTGAATGATATCCTTTATAGTGATGTGAATTGTGAACAACTATTTAAGCCATTTTGGGAGTTTTTCAGTCACAAAAATGCTCTCTCTCTCTCTCTCTCTCTCTCTCTCTCTCTCTCTCTGTGCTGTGTGTAAATTGTTGTCAAGATTTTGTATGAGAATGATCCACTAGCTAGAGCACCATCATAAATGTATTTCATCTTTTCGTGTTCCATGAAATATATGCTCTCTGAAATTTTCCGACTTGTTTATGGGCATTTTGTAGCTTGCCAAGAAGCTGCATCCTGACACTAACAAAGATGCTGATGCAGAAAGAAAGTTCCAAGAAGTTCAACGTGCATATGAGGTAGTATACCGTGGAACTGTTCCGTCATTTAATTCCAACTTTACCAACATAAAACATGAATATTTTTTGCAGGTTTTGAAGGATGAGGATAAGCGAAGACTATATGACCAGGTTTTGTAATTATATATATATATATATATATATATATATATATATATATTGTTTTTGCTTTTGTTTAGTTTTCCCTTATGATGTTAGCATAGATGGAACATGGGATAGTAATTGCTCATAAGTCCCTCCATTTTGGATATGAGTGGTTCTAATGGAATTAGAACAGAGGGCAAGTAAGAAGAGAATGAAAGAGAGAAGAAAATCTACAGAAGAAGAACGAGCTTAACGAGATGTACTCTAGGGAAAGAAAAGAGCACAGAACAAAAGATTGATGATGAAATTACTGGATATGTGAAATTCACGTCCAAAGAAGATATTTCATTCAAACTATCAATAATCTTTTCATCCTCAAGCTATATAATCTTGTGTTCTAGACTTTTAGAGACGGTCCTTGCACAATATGGACTTTAAGTGTGATGGATACTCTTCTAAGTTATGTTTGATGGAATGAAGCAAAAGAAGCAAGTGAACAAGGTGATGTTCAAAATCCCCCGGTAAAGTAGAATGTAGCTGTTCCCAGAAAAAAAGGAAAAATTCAATTATGATACATTTTCAATCCTAACGATTCTAAGAATTTGAACAATTTTCTGTACAACCATAAACGAGTAACATATTATTACCTGAATTTGAACTGCATCGATGTGGATGATCCATTGCATCAAAGAGTAGTGTTTGACTGAAGGTTTGTTTGAGTCGGATTTAGGTTTAGTCTGAGTCATATTAGATTTAAGTCTTTGTGTTTCAAGAAATTTCATATTTTATTGTTATATTTATCTGCCATTGTGAGGGGTCATATATGATTTATGTTTGAGAGTTTTCTGAGTTGGAATTACACTAGTTGAAGAGGATTCAGTTTGTTTTTAACCTAGTTAAAGGGTCATGTCACAGATAGAAAAGGCTAGTTACAGTACTAATTCGATGTAAAAATCATGTTGGTTGGAAAACTTGTGGGAAAATGATCCATGAAACAAAGCAAAACTGATTGGAAGATTATGGGAATATGATCTGTGAAAGGACGTGAATCTGACGTTCAAGTTAAGGCGATGTCTGTTCAGTTGACGTGACATTTATGTCAATGAACACAGATGAAATTTCAGGGAGTCGAATCTTCCTTTTTTTTTTTGTATGAAGATGAATTCGAAGAAGAATGCCTGTTGCTTCTATAAGTATTAAGCCTTAAAAGTAGATTTTGGTCCTGACATAAGTGTCCTAAGATGGTTCATTTAGGAACCAGGGTCCAAAAGAAAGAAGATATTCTACTCATCTGTGTGCAAATTAGGATAATTATTCTCACTAAGGTAGCTCCACTCAATTTGTATTGATCTTAGATCTTCACTTGATGATTTAGTAAAGAAAGAAGGTTTTTCTTTTTGGAATTGCCCATCTTCCCCACTTTTCTCCTTTCTATGACATGATCTGTACCATGTTTGCATCATTAGCACCTTTTATCTTGAGCAAGCTCATATCTTTTGGACAAATAGTATGCTCACGTGGAGTATTCATTGGGGTATGGGTTTATAAGTTCTATAGAACTCTACAAATTTGAGATCTGCTTAATTTGTTTTCTTGTGCTTGGTATTTAATTAATGGAGAATTGGGAATGTAGTGATTGTTAGTGTTGATCAGTTGATGTATTTAAGATGTTTTCTAAGTGAATTGTAGACCTGTAAAAGTTAAATCCAATGAGGAGTTCATGCTCAAGCAGCCATTGCATTGTCTGATGATCATTTTACAGATTAGAATCAGCAGTTGGCTGTGTTAATGCATCTAGTTTATGTACGTTTGTGTTCTGCAGATTCACAAATGTATTTTCAGTTAAGTTTGTCACTGAGCAACTTGGATGTATGAATATTCGTAAACCTCGTTCTTTCTGATATATCTTCTATCTGATACCTGGCAGG